CAATCCTGACCCCACAGGGGGAGTGTAGTGGTCGACGTTATGTCGTGTATTGTCCGTCTCCAGAGATCTCTGTCTCTGGTTATTTCTTTTAATTCATGCATAGGTCTTTGGCATATTCCTGTAATTTGATCTATCCATCTTGTTGGGGATCTTCCTCGTGATCTTCGGTCTTCTACCTTTCCTTATATTATGAGTCTTTCCATGTTTTCTGTGTTTGCTCTCATAACATGCCCAAAATATTTTAATTGTTAAAGATGGACTTTACTAGAGAGTCGTTGGCTAACTTTTAGCTCTCTTAAAATTGAATTATTTGTTCTGCGGTCAGTCCAAGGAATTCGTAACATTCGTCTCCAACAGAACATTTCAGTGACGTCTATCTTTCTTCTCTCCGATTGTCTCAGAGTCCAAGATTCACATCCGTAGGTCAGTATTGGGAATATTAGGCAGTTGATCAACCTCATCTTTATCGCTCTTGAAATTTGACAGTACTTCCATATTTTGGTCATTTTTGCTATGGCAACTTTTGCTAGATCACATTTACGTTTAATCTCTTCTTGTAATGACCCTGTGTTTGTGATTAATGATCCCAGATATAAGTATGAGCTCACAACCTCGAACCGGTCAATTGTGGTTATGTGTGGATGATTGTTGTGTAGTCTATCCACTATGATGATCTTTGTCTTTGATATGTTTAATTGCAGACCAAATATTTGACTTTCGTTTTCGATCAGTCGTATGAGTTCTATTAGCTCTGCTTGACTACTTGCAAGAAGGGCTGTGTCATCTGCGAAACGTAGGTTGTTTAGTTTATGACCAATTATTGAGATGCCCTTTTCCCATCCATCAAGTGCTCTTCGCATAATATACTCCCCATTTTTCAGTATTTGCATTAATTTTACATGCTGTACTTTATCAAATGCTATTTCGAAGTCCACGAAATATGTAAATACATCTTTTTTTGGTCACGGCACTTTTGTAACAGAATGCTAACCACAAAAATTGCCTCCCTGGTTCCCATAGCATTTCTAAAACCAAATTGGGTAGATACCTCGAGATCTTCTTTGCTTTGTTGTGAACTATTCTTAGGAAAATTTTAAGAATGTGGCTCATTGGGCTAATTAATCGATATTCTGATCATTTTCTTGCGTTGTGTTTTTTAGGTATTGCCACAAAGATGGATTTGAGCCAATCTGTGGGAATTATTTCGGTGTTATATATGGAAATAAAAAGTCGTACTACTACTTTTATATTATCATCCTCTATTAGTTTCACAAGCTCAGTTGGTTTATAATCTGGACTACAAGCTTTTCTAATTTTAGCATTATTAATAGCGTGTTCTACCTCGCATTTCATAATTTTTGGGCCGTACAGTTTTGATAGAATTCGGCAATATTATTCCTGTCATCTTCAAATAACTCTGATATATACAGCTGCCATTCTTTTCTTATTTCGTGCTCATTTACAATAATTTTGTTATTATTGTCAACGAGTACAGAGGTAACTTAGAGGATTACAACCTCTATTTCGTCGCACCTTTTTCTCATCAATGTTTCTTTTGCCAATTTGACCTCCTTTTTTATTCTTTTCTGCAGGTATCTATATTCTGTTTAATTAGATTTCATCAGTCGACGTTGTTCCATTAATTTTAAGATGTCGTCTGACATCCATCGATTTTTTTATGTTACATTTTAGTCTTTTCTAATGTAAATATCTATGACTTAGGAAGTATACATAATGCAAAAATAAATAACATTTTAAATGGTTTTAGAAATAACAAATCAAAAAACGATATCAAATGAAATAGTATAGTTTCACTGGATTAAAATATACCTAAATCAAATTGCGGTTGTATTCTTACGAAAGCTAAAAGGTTACCGTATTCGTACATAAAATATTTGCCCGGAGAGAATTTAGTTATTTTCTAGGATAACAAAGTTTGATTTGATCGTAAATTTCAATACCTTTTCTCATAAATCAAAATAAACAGCTTCAGCTCTAACCAACCCGAAATATAACTAAAGTAATTCATATATTTAGAGAGGTAATAAATAATGCTACATTTTGCTTATAATGTGTAAAACCATTTGTGTCAAAATAACTTAAAACAACTAAAACTATATTTTAATTTTTTTTTATTTTAACACAAAACCACATCAACCGCGCAGGGTTATTAGTGAAATATATCAAATACATGAAATATTACATTAAATATAATTAAATGACTTGATGTCTTTTAAATAGTTTAACGCTGTTGAACCATTAATTGAGGACAATCAAGCAGGATATGTTTGGCGGTCACTGGGTTAGAGCAGCTGGAGCAGATAAGTAGTGGTTCTTTTGTTATTAAGTATTTATGTGTTAAAGCAGTATGGCCAATTCTTGGATGGTTAATAATAACTTGGTTTCTTCTGTTTGAGTGAGTCTTCAGGACAACATTTATTTTTGGCCAAATTACATTGAATTTTGTACCTAATTTGTTCCAATGATTTTGACATGTATTATTACAGTGTATTTTAATCAGGTTCTTTAGATCGGTGACAGGTTTAAAAGAGAGGACCATTAGGATAAGACGAAACTGTAGATTAAATGTCAAGCAGAGATACATCGATAGGAAAAAACAGTTTGGGAAACTATTAGATGTTAATAAAAGAATAGGTAGGGAAAAACTGAGGAGAAGATATATTGAGTGTGTGGAAAAGGACTTGAGAAAGAAAGGTTTAGGTAAAGAACACTCGATAAACAGAAATGAGCGGCAACTAAGAGTAAGGAACAGGAAAACCTAAAAAGGAAAAGCTGAGGAAGAAGAATAAGATATTGTGTATTATGTTACCACGTCGTAATATGACTTAAAACACCAAAGACTCAGGCTTATTAATATTAAACTCACTGATTTCCTGTTTCTCTGAGCCTAACTTTCAAAATTCTACATGATATCGTCTTCGGTGATTTCGAAGTCTCAGCATCCTAAGCCCCTAGTCACTACACTATTTTATCTTGTTCATTACCCTGTAAAATTTAGCATATTACGTAAGCCTGGAAAAAATATTGCTTACATTATTTCGAAACAGGTTTTTTAAATATTCTGGACCATAATAGCATTATCTTCCAATGTACATAATATTCGATAAATAAGAATGTTATTATTATAATGTAACTCATCCAATAAGAAGAAAAGCAATATATTTCCTATGATTAAAAAAGTAGCACATGGCTATCCAATTTCTGTATAAATTAGCTTCAAGGTAGAAAAACGCAATAATTTGTTTTTCCTGCATCTTGTTAGATAACGAAAGGTAACAAGAAAATAAAGGTAAAGCAAATGAATATTTTACTCAAACCTACTTGCAAGAACGGAAAAATATACGAATGCTATTTATTTTTAAACCTCAGAAGATTTACTATTTCAAAGAAAGCTTTTAGTAGAAATACTCCAGGGTTATATAAATTCTGAATGTAATCGAATCTGAGGAAAAGATATTTTGAATTTGATTATTTGAACAAAAATTGCAGTAATTTTTAAATTACGAGAAAGTATACTAATATATGATATATTTCTTGTAATAATAATACTAATACTAATACAGAAAACAAAAAGATAAAACACAGCATCAATAAACTTGTGGTGCTTGTGCATCACAAATTCTTAACAAATAAATAATAATAATTATCTCCCTTTTTACCAAGGTCCTTAGTTTATTCAGGCTGAGTCGACCTGGGGCCTGTATATATTTTAAAAACATCTTGTTCACGCTAGATTTCGACCCTTGGCCTTCTGCGTAGATGTGAGACACTCTACCGTCTGAGCTATCCAATCCATATCAAATAACAGTACCTAATTTTTTAAATTTTAAATATACAATTAAATTTAGGAAGTCTTTATAGACAAATACGGTATTCTTTTTAATAAGGGATGTAAATATTTCTAAAATTTAGAAATTTAGAAATTGCAAAGTTATTATTATTATTATTAGGACTATTCTTAAACAGACTTGTGGACTGTTTGAATATGCCTATTAAATTGTCTTGCTCTGTCGGTTAATTATGATGATCAGATACAGATTCAGATTCAGATAAAGATGAATGGCAATACTGCGCGCCATCATATCTGCTTTCCACGAACTTCCGTTGACCCGTCGCCAAATATTTGTCAATTTAAAGTGGTTACACAGCAGTGTGTAGATTTATTTTCTGTGTTTTTTGAAGAGAGACCAATCCCTTGCGTATCGTCAATTCAAAATATTGTTAAAAACGGAGAGTTGTTACTGCTTCAAAAATTGCAGTGTAGCGACAAGCTAATTACGAATAAGTAAAGTTTTCTATTCAAACATTAAATGAAACAATCTTCTATCAAAACATTAAATCTTCTAGCAAAAGCTGCTAACGCTTTGTTGAGTTAAATGAAATTAAATTTAAATATTTGAAATTAAAATCAGAACGTGAAAAAATCATAAAAACAAGCTAAATTAGAATAAGACTGTCAAGTTTTGTTCTTTTTACTCCTGGACTTAGCTCTAAAAGCCTAACAAAATCTTAGCAAAATTCAGTTTTAAGTTTTAAGTAATTTTAAACTGTTTGTCCTCGTTTTAGTGTAGTGTTTTGCACAATTTTATGTCATTAATAATGTTTCCACATTCTACGCTTGCCGGATAGTTTATATTTGACGAAATGCCCCTGAAGATGCTATTTTAAGCGAAAGTACTTGGGCTAGATTTAATTAACTTGTGCTCGATAATAGCTTTATTTTTCAAATTTCATTTATTTGAGCATTTTACCTCATTTCAAAAATTCAGTTTGTTCGTCTTGTTTTTAGAGATCAAATCTCTGATTACTGGACTATCAAATAAAGAAACAGATTATACTATAAACAACTATTAAAAGACTTTAAGGGCAAAACATAATTAAAATTGTAATAGCACCCTAATAACGTAGCACCTGTTAAATATTTCATATTATCTATATTTATGTTGTATATATTAAATATTGAAAATGAGTTGTTTGTTTTAACCCTTACTTTTTAATCCCTTAATAAGATTTATTAAAGTTACACCCGACTCACCTAAAATAGGATGGCCTCTAGGGGTAGCTTGTCCTCCCATAGTTAATACGTGGGAATGATCGGACGTAACAACAATAAGGGTTTCTGTGGGATTGACTAGAGCCAAAGCGGCTAATAGAGCCGTCTCCATCGCCAGTGTTTCGTCTAATGCCCTGTAAGCATTGTTGTAGTGATGTGCGTGGTCTATCCGCCCACCTGAAATCAAAAGCATATGTAAACATAACCTTCATAAAACAAACAATATAATATCTGAGAATATGGCTTTTATACAATATATACGTAGACAAAACATGTGTATACATAAACTAACATTGCATAAATACTTATTTTAAAACGGAGATACTCAAGACTACAGTGAGATACAGAAATAGATAAAAAGAAAAATAAGAACACGCAAAAAATGGAAGATTTGCACATATCTCACATATTTTCCAGATCAACAATCGGTAAAAGAAGCACATTTTCCTAAGAATTCCTCTAAGTTAGTCCAGATATCTCCACGTGATAGTTTGAGCAATTCAAAAAAGGAGAAAGACACATTTAAATCTGATTTGGGCCAGATGACGATTACATTTCTCTGTATAAAGTTAATCACCCTTATTTTAAGTTCTTTTTAAAAAAATATTTTAATAAATCTTTCCTGGAGAGAGAAAACAAGTCACGAAAAAATGCTATGTGAAATGTATTTTAAAAATTTAGCGGAAGTTAGAGAGCAGTTTCTTGTATATAATGCTGGATGATATGACAGAAGAACGCGGCAGGTATTATAGCTGATGAAATGGTATATAGGATATATGATGGAATTTTGAACGAAAAATTTGTGAAAAAACCTTATTTAGTTGCTGTTAAAGAATTGGAAATATCAAACAATGTATATTTTCATTACACTTGTGCAGTTCCTGAAATAAATGGAACTGCATAAGAAATAAAAAATTGGATTCCGTGAGTTATTGATTTTATAAATTTTATGAAAAAGTCTTTGTAAAGGCTCAATTATTAATGGTACAGATATCGGTATAAAAAAGACTTTCCGGTGTCCCTCTACCACAGTAATTACAAGGTAAGAAATATGACTCGCAGAAGTGTTTTTACGTTGGACACTATATAATTATTAATGACAGAATTTGATGATCGCAAATAATTTTTACGGTCTGCAAAAGGAAACATGGCGCTTCATAAGAGGTAAAAACTGAAGCTAAATGAACTATTAGAACCAAAACACATATAAAAGGATACGTGGATTGGCTACCTAAAAAAGCTATATGTAGGAAAGAACAATTGACGCTAGAAACGGAAACACAAGAAATTATCACAAATGAACAACTTAATATAAATGTAGAGTAAGTTCGGAAAATACCTGAAAATAGAAAAGCAGCAGGTAAAGAAGAGATACCAAAAGAATTACTAAAATTTTGTAGAGCTAAATTAGTCCAGGCTGTGAGGCCGCTCCCGTTGGGAAAATGTTTCTGATTCGGTTTCTTCACGGATTCCGGTTTAAAAATGTCCCCTTTAAACAAATCTGAAGGGTGCCGGGCAAAATTTTTGGGCAGAAATTGTTTAAACAATTTTTTTAAACAAATTCCAAATTTTTTTTTTTAATTTGGAAAACGTTTTTTTAGATTTTTTGGGTCATTTTAAATAAAAAAGTTGTCTTGTCATTTTTCTCTTAATTTAATAGTTTTCGAGTTATAAGCGATTTAAAGTCTGAAAAACGCGAAAATACGCATTTTTGAGGCTTGAAAACACATATGTAAATTATTATTTTTGAGGTTACCAAGTGTCTAAATTGAAGTTTAAACATTCAACTTCAAGATTGTGAAGAGTAATCGGGGCTTATTTTAATTTATATCGTTGGTTTTTAATTGTTAAATATGCGCGTACATTCGATTTTTCAGCCGCCGCGGCGCGGCGCGCTAGAGTGTGCTTCTATCGTACTTATGCATAGTTTACATAATATACACTTACGCAAAAAAAACCCGAACAAATCCTTGAAGTTTATTAACATAGTTTTTTCCATAATTTATTTATGTAGGTATTAATTATTGTCATTGGGCTAATTAAATAAATCAATCTTCGCAATGTAATAACCGTATATAGTTTTTTTTCTTCCAAATTTGAACAATATCATTATTATTTATTGAGTATATATTTATTTATATCAATTGTAAATAATATTTTTTAATTATTATTTAAATAATACAATGCAGTAAATATTAATATTAGTAAACTTAATTTTAAATTGCGCGGTGTTTAAAAACAATATACTATAGCAAAAATGCAAGTTTTTACCTGTTTAACAATCGCGCGCTCATACTTGATTTGTTATTACTTAAACGATCATTAGGAAGACTATTGTTTAATGCCCATTAAAAGGGTATAACATTATTAATGTGTTATTAAAAAAATTGTGAATCGATTTAAAATGTCTTTTTTCGTACCTCTTCTTAAATGAAAACTTACCGAAGAAAATTTAGTTTGTATTTTTTGTAATAACATCATTAATATTAAGTTAGTGCAAAAACCTAAAGTAGATTTTTACATAACAATACAAAATGCTGCTCTTCGACGAAAAGACAGTGTGACTGAAAAATTTAATTTAATCTAGCCAATATACCTTGTACCTCTGACGCACTTTACCAACACTTGTTAAGAGCTTTCGCTAAAACATATATTTGTCGAAATGCCATATATTCCCGCTATCAAACTCTCGATTTTACACAATATGGATATTATATGTCTGATAGTGGTGGGTTGGGAAACCATGCAAATGCAAAAAGACTTGCAAAACTAATGCTTGCAACTGCAAGAAAAATCATGTCAACTGTGTACCATTATGTGGAGGTGATTTAGATTTTTGTGAAAACAAAGATACTTTTACTGAGTGACATTAGTGTGTTATTTAACAATCTTTTGTACATGTTATTTTATGTAACTATTATTAGACTTTAGACGAAATTTATACTATAACTCAATTGATATAAATAAATATATACTTAATAAATAATAATTATTTGTAAGTATATGTAAACTATGCATAAGTACGATAGAGGCGCACGGTAGCGCGCGGCGCCGCGGCGGCTGAAAAATCGAGTGTACGCGCATACTTAACAATTAAAAAACAACGGTCTAAATTAAAACAAGCCCTGATTACTCTTCACAATCTTAAAGTTAAATGTTTAAACTTTAATTTAGATACTTGGTAACCTCAAATATAATAATTTACATATGTGTTTTCAAGCCTCAAAAATGCGTATTTTCGCGTTTGTCAGACAATCGCTTATAACTCGAAAACTATCAACTTTAAAGAAAAATGACAAGAAACTTTTTTTGTTTAAAATAGTCCAAAAAACCTAAAAAAAAATTTACATTATTTAAGATAAGGAAATGAGGAAGCGTGTTTGTTTACATTTTAATAGGCGTACCATTGGTTATTCATGTTCATTAATGTATTGAATAAGATATAAGTTCATGAAATAAGTAGACATTTATAAATTGTAAGTAGACATAATCTGATTAAAAAGATCTGTTTAGTACCTTTTTAATTTAATATTTCTCATGGATAAAAATAAATTAGTGAAATGAATAAAACTCATTTATTTTTCTATGTAGGTTTCCAAATAATATTGACGATCGAACTATTTGGGTAGCAAATTAAGGAGAAAACATAAAGATTTTTTATTGTAGCATTATTTTGATACTATTAAAAAAATTAACTTGAATTCAACTATATTTTATTGTATTAATTTTAAACCAAATAAAATTGTATTTTAATTTTTCTATAAAGACGTGATTTGTTAATAGTTAAACTCTCGTTTTTTAAAATTCTTTGAACGTGTTTTTATACATTATTACTACTTCCAATTTTTAAAATCTGAATAATTACCCGCGAGTAAAAATTTAAGCACGTTTATGCTCATTGCGGAAGCATCACATTCTATCTAAGTTTCAAAACATTGTGCGTTAAAGGTATCTTATTGCTGTGTCCATCTATGTTTATACGTCCATGATAAAAAGTCATAGCAACTTCACGTTTCCTGTTGACAAAACTCCTTCCTGTCCATAATTTCTCAGCCTAAGTAGGCAAAAATATAACAGATCCGTCACGAAGGTGTCTGGTAATTATATTGTTCTTGTTCTTAGTTTGATAAACTTCATTGAGACTAAATGAATTTTGGACAAATATAATGAATTCAGATAAAAAAAATCAAGATTTGAATGCCAGTCAAGTAAAGAAATAAAAAATTGGTTTCGGAAAATATCACATTAAACACGCAGGGGCAGAGGAGCTCTATTTGAACCCTCGGAGTTCCTAAAGGTGAGAAATTTTACGTTTGAAATAGATGTACTATATAACGGAACTAGCAATAATTCTGGAGGATTATGGCTTTAACATAAAAAAAGAAACGGCGAAAACTATAAACAGTCGTGTGTTAAGTCAATGTGGAATACTACAGCAAAAATGACACAAGAAAAATATTTTACGGAGTACGGCATAAAGACTGGCCAAAGATACCAAGCGTAGGCAGCTTCAAAGTGTTTAAGAATCAAGAAAACTTAGTTCAAAAGCATTATCCACCGAAGAACTATTAAAAATCATCCAAAGCTACAACGAGGAAATCCCCGATGGAGCCCAAAAAAAAAAATTTTTTTCACCTTTGCTTATTTGAATTTGCTTGAAGAGGCAATAAGTCCGTAAACTGCTAGATTCACTTCTTTCAGAAAAAATTTGATGTTATGGGAGAACTTATTTTTTCCAAAATAAATAAGGCGGTTCAAAAAGTTTGGCAAGCAGCAAATGGCTGCTAAGAAATTCATCGAACAAAAATTTATATCCAGTTAGATTATTTTTGAAATTAATGGAAAAAAAGTCCAAAGATTTCATCAGACAGACTCTTTCTTATCTTTCACTTCAACTGGAAAAATGGATCTTGGTTTAAAAATTGCCACTTGAAATCAGCTCTCCTAAACCATATATGCAGCTAGATTTCAGTCACCACCAAAAGTTGATCGAAAATCTCATTAAAAATAAATGAAGCTTTACCTTAAGCGATAAATACAGTATATGCTTATAGGTGAAGGGTTTTATTAAATTATTGTAAGTTAAAATAGCCTAGGATCAGATGAAACTAAAGAATATGACTCTCCTGTGATATTCCAGCAATAAATGTGAGCTGGACTCATTTATGATAAACTTT